CTTTAAGTCTTCGATCCTCAATAGTTTGTGCTATTCAAACTTTCAATGCTTTAGATTTTTCTCTTATAACAGAGACATTTAAATTGGATTCGATACAAAACGTATTGTCACAATGTTATGCAATAGCTGTAGTTCGAAAGAGTCGTGGAAGCTTTCTTATGTTCAAGAAAGGAATTTATTCATAGACCTCTTTTCAATACTGCACGGTTACTGCGTCAACCGTCTGCTGACTGGGCAGCTGAGCTTTATTCTCTCCGAAAGTGCTTTTGGGGAGATTAAACAAGCTGCCTCACTCGTTGAGTGGTCGCCAGTGCTACTACCGGGCAACGGGTCTCCGGTTCAATTCCCGGGTGGCCCAAAGTATTACTGGGTTTTCTGAAAAAATATCATAAATAGTGGAAAGTAGGTGTTACATTGTAAATTGGTATTAAGTGCTGCATTGCGCACCTCTGCCTACCCGGGAATAAAAGGCGTGGTGTTAAGTGTTAGAATGTTTTTTTTTCGATCCACAACTTCTTCATATTACTTCGGACAGTTCAAGGTCGCAAGTTTGATTTGTTTGACATGTTTCGACTTGTTATGCGATAAAAAGTTTTTCAAACCAACTCGAAGTTATTGCAAAGAATACTAGGAAGTATTTTCCATCGATTTATATTTCCTATAAATCAGCTAAATATGTTTCTAACTTTCTCTTGATTTGTTATTCGTAACACATTTAAATCGTGAAAAGCGGATGATAATGTAAAAAATAAACTTCCAGTTTCATTGTGGTATTTCAAAAGGATTTAATATTGTGTACTCATGCAAAACCTACCCAAACATAAAACCGGACTGGTGTACATTGTACAGCAAGCAAATGAATTTCCACTTTTGCTGTTTTAACGTATGCAATGTTATGATCCGCGAGAAACCCCTGCGGTTATATTTTTAAAGCGGTTTTAACGTATGCAATTTTATGATCCGCGAGAAACCCCTGTGGTTATATTTTAAAAATAATATGTAAGACCAGCTATATTTTTCTTAAACTTTGCTCCTTAACTCTATATCATGACACTCCCGTGATAAAAATAAACAATATTAAACTTTTACACAACCGACTCAATGCGCCGAGCGACGGTGGCGCGTGTTCTCAACGTGCGCCATCGTCTCAGGTCCTTTTCGGCGAATACCTACGACAGATTTTCACAAAACCTTTAGATTATGAGTTACCTATACCTAGACCAAATTGCGTTTTGTGTGTGAACTGTGTTACAAACAAAATATTATGAAGTTCACAAAAAATCATCAAACGAAATCCACCCTAAATAAAACAAAGTTGTAATACAAATATGGTGAACGCAAACAATAGTTTAGGCTGTAACATTTTATTCGATCCCACTTTGTAGCTTTATATCGTATTTTTATTTTCGTATTTTTGTGCAACAAAAATATCACCTGAAATGGTGCTGATATGATTCACGCGTTTCTCACACATGGTTGCATTATTTTTCAGGAAACTTACGCTATAATAACCGTAGCGGTTTGTGTAAAATACCTACATTTTGTACAAAACTTTTGTTTTTTCTTTTACAAACGTTGCCACAACGTTAGGATTTTCTCCTGTGTCGTGGGTGCGTTTACAAACATACAAGTTCACATACACAATGACACTCAGATCAGAAACAACTGTTTGTGGATCATACAAAGTGTTGTGTGACTTTCTGGACTACAGTTGTTCGTTGGGATTTTCTAGCCGTGTTAATTTGCACGTGAACTTCACATGTGCGATGTAGGATTTTGTGACGTCATCAGTTGTTTTGTTTACCATCGATATAGGTATGTGCGTGAGCTGTCATTTGATGTCTGACATGTGTCGTCACAAATATCGTCAGCATCAAAAACATAATTATTACGGTATTTCACAATGCCCAATTACGAAAGTAGCTGTTATTATTTGTTTCATACCAGCTGTTGCCAGCGATTTCGTTCGCGTAGAATATGAATTTTCGAACATTTTTTGTTTCAATTTACGAAAATAAAAGTAGCCCATGTTACTCCTTAGTACATCAACTACCTGCTAATGAAAGTCTTGCAAAATCAGTCCAGGCATTCCAGAGATTAGCCAGTACAAACAGACAAACAGACAGACAGTCAAACAGACAAAAATTTTAAAAAAATATTATTTTGGTATGTATACATATCGTATGTATATTCGTATGCATGTAGTAAAAAAAAGTTATTTTAATATTACAAACAGACACCAATTTTATTTATCTATATAGATGTGAAGAAGAATCATTTGATACCTAAGTCAAAATACAAATACATAATGATGCATTTTATATACACATAGAGATACGTAATGACGTATCTCTATGTGTATATAAAATGTTGATTAAGATTTATTTTCCACTTTAATGACCAACAAAAAAAAATGTGCAAAAAGGGTCTCTTATTAAAGCATTTTATTTTTGTATAAAAAAAAGAAAAATGTTTTTAATATAGGTTTTTACAAATACATTACAATCTGAAAACGCATGAACGAACTTCTAAACAGTTATCAGCGAGCTTTGTCGTTCCTGAAGAAAATCAAATGTACATTATATTTTCCCCGACATCCTTTGAACTAAAAAATAAACAAAATATCTTTCGGTGTCTCGAGGGCAGCTTTTGAAAATGATGTAAGAGTTCAAACCCAACACGATTCCTTTTTCCTTTGTGGTTTGGTGACAAAACGAGGATATTTAGGTACTTGTTTCTTTCTATTGAAAGAAAAGTCAAAGATTTTAACATTGTTAATTTATAAGTTCAGTACTCGAATGGAAGAAAAGATTATTGGGATTACATAATTATATCTTTTCGCAATAGGTACATAGCATATCGATTTTCGAAAAAAAGTTTCATACTATTTGTCACACTACATAAATCGAAAACTTATATAACTGAGTTCTATTTTTCTATTAATTTACACTGAAACTTTATAGTTAGCAAAAAGCTGCAACTTTTCAAGACGTTATTGGATATCAATAGAAATCATCCTTAGAATTGGGTAGTTTCCAGGGTATCAAAATTAAAAATCTAATTAGTCCATCTGTTAGATAATGAAAAAATATTACACCCGTATTTTTCTTATTTTTTCGTATTAAATTGCAATACTTAGATAAAATGGCGCTAAGTTTAGGTGTGAGAGGTTGTTACGTCATAACGTGCTACAAAATGTGGCACGCTGTGACGTCACACGATATTTCAAATTAATATATCGTCGAAAATATTTAATTTTGTTAGAAAAGAAAAAATACGTGTCTAAAGTTTTAAAATAATCTACCAGACGGACATTAAAATAAAATTTAGGAAACTACTTAACTTTCAATATTTGACAATTCTTCCATAAAAATAGCTGTCAAGTGTCAATTTTATTCTACAGTTAAGAATTAACTGATGATTGAAAACTCGGCCCTAAATTCGCAACCATTTGAACACTAGCAACGTAACCTAATAGCTGACTGTATCAATAGGTCAATACGACATCCTATCAAAGTCAACAAGCGTTGTCAGCTGACCCAGTGACCTGAACTTACAAGAAAAGCGCCCGTAACAACCAATACAGTTCATTATTAATAGAATGTCAGTATTTTGCAAATCATTTTTCTGTGAACTATTATGAAGCTGTCAGTAACTATACATACGTTAAAAATGTTTGTGGTTTGATAAAATCTGTAGTCGGTGTAAAAATGTTTATAAGTGGTACGTATCGGTGCCGATACATGTACCTACACCGTGTCACGAGGCCCAGATCTGCTGAATCAGGACATTATACCTACTTTGATGCAACAAAGGTTCTACGGAGTATTGCAACATTCAAACTGCTGAGTTGTCTCGTCTCCTCATGTCGCCGCCCAGCTGTGAATCGTTACGTCATCAATCACCCCACTAAAAACCTCAATAGGTTTTATTGAAAACTTTCATTTGAAATAATTTTAAGATAAGAAAGCAGCGTTGTTCCAACATCGAACGCATTCGCTCTTAGATAAGTTAAATTTTAGGAATTATCATGTAATTTTAATTATAATAAACTTAGTAAAACGATTATAGTTTCCATTTGTACCCTCTGTCGGTGGCAGAAACATAACTAGTGTGTCTATTCGGTATTCAATATTTTGTTATAGTAAAAAGGTACTGTTACAGGTGCTAATTTCAAGCACGAAAGCATGCTTTCATTGAGTATGTAGTAGCATGTCCCGGAATGTTGCTCAATATTAGCAGGCTCATTTTAGGTATGTTTGCAAATCGAGAAGCGCTCGATTTAAAATTTTTTTTTTTTTGGGCATGCTCTGTTTGAGCATTCTATTTTGAAGCCGGTGTTATAGTAAGGTACCTTATGTCTGGAATTTTTAATAAAGAGTTTAAGAATAAGTTCACGGTTTGAACACACAAGTGACTAATAAACATGAATGTTTAAAAATACGTGAACTGAAAACATACCTTCCTCGGGAAGAGTGTGCCTAGTGAAACCTGGTTAAGTGAGACATCAAGGGACCTGCAATGCCGTTTCACTTATAAAAGTATTCCACTTACCCAGTGTCTCAGATATACAGGTATAAATAAATATCTGTCTCATTTACAGAGGGTTCCATTTATAGAGGTGGACTTGGAATTACGTATTGAATTTGTGGGTAGAATAAGAATGAGTAAACAAACAATGTTATCTCAGTTACAGAGGTTTATGCATATAAAATTTACTCGCTGTCTCAATTATAGGGGTAACAATGATGATAAATCGAAAGAACAAATCCCAGATATAGAGGTTTACCTCGTCCCACTAACAGAGGTAATTCAGTGCCAAAGTGTTGGGACCTTAGCATGAGTTCCAGTTATGGAGGTTTCTCACTTATCCAGGTCCCACTTAACCAAGTTTCACTGTATTATAATCTGTTTTAAGATGTATAAAATCATCTCATAAATGGGAAGGTATCTTATGCATGTCCCGTTATTCTTTTTTAAACATATTTTTTTCTTTCCAGCCTTCAAATGCAGAGAAGTCTGGACAAGTCTAGAATTGGAACGGGCCTTCAATCTTGGACTGGACGCCGGTCTTCTGCTAATACCAATCTTCATCATGTCATTTGCCTACTCCTTGATCGTCACCAAACTGTGGCGAGGAATGCGCCATGAGATACAACACAACTTCAAGTGGCAAAGACATTGTAAGTACAATTTTTATTTCCATTTTCGATGATACTGCCATCTGGTGGTTGCAAATTTAACTATTGATCTGTTGAACGCTTAATGTTAAGTATGACGAGTTTCCATGAGCAATCAGTGTCAGAATTTCTTTGATATTTATGTGAAATATTGGCGTAAGCCATCAAATGGCAATTATAAACTTCCAATCTGCTGTAAAAAACCAAATGTGTTTTTCTATTTACTAAAACTGAAACCCTCATACAAAAAGCCTCTATTTTTTGGGATTTGGTTCAGTAGAGGGATATGTGAAACTGTCGATTCGTTATTTTCGTTATACCTACATACATGTTCGTAAAAAATGTTTGCAAACGAAGCAAACATAAGCCTGCAACATAATATATGTATATCACCTGATGTGAAGGAGAATTATGTGCGCCTGCAAAATATCATCTTGTTGTAAAATCAAGACATAGACCTCTAGAGGTCTCAAGTTTAGATCGAAGGATCCTGTATGCAGGACCCGGGAATCAAACCCGAGACCCCTTGTCTAGCAGTCGCACTTGCGACCACTCGGCCAACGAGTCATTAATGTATTGTGTGACTTTTATGTATAACTTTTACAGTTTATATTTGAGCATCATCGAAATAAAAGCTTAGAAAATATAAAGGTGAATTCATAAATACAGAAAATGTACAAAAAGAATGAACCCAATATGCGCGTGTGCGCCATTAGATGCGAGATACAATACATGAAACTGATTTTATCTTTCGTCCAACACTCGTTCGGATACACTAGCCGAATTTTATTCAATCAATAGTAAAAAAAAAACACTATCGACTATGATTCACAGCGTGCAGGAAATAGGAAACATTTTTGTACAAATAAAACGTGAAAGAGTTAAGATCGTAGCACACTTAACCGGCACGACTCCAACCTATTGCAGTTTTAATATGAACTTTAAACTGTCAAACACCAAGCGGTCACCGGTGACCGCGACCTATTGTTCTTTAATTGTGTCTATAAAACCGGTACTCGACGAGTTAAGTCGTATGTCGAATAACGTATTTAATAATGTCAATTGGGTAGTTTCCTTAATCAAAAATTAATTATTTCGACTGTTCAATACAATGAAATTAAATTTTAAAAAATAATGACACTTTCATTAATTGAATTTGTGACCAACTTAATTTTAGTATTTTCCAGCAATTTTTTACGAAATATATGTAGGTACTGTTTGGCACTAAAAAAACGTGACGCCATAATACACAATCTCGTACGCCGACACCGCGCTTACAGTTTTTTGTATTATAATATATAATAACTATCGTGAGACATACTAATAAGTAAAAACGCGGGTTACTCACGTGAATATACTGAGAAAAGCTCTACTAGTTTCGAACCACAGAGAGGTTCATCCTCATGAGCAGCGTGCGCGGTCGCGGCGACGTCGCGCAGCTCACTGAAAGCTCACGTAAGTAACCAGCGTTTTTACTTAATTAAGATTTTTGTATTGTTTCCAAAGCAAAAAATGCCATGCTGCAGCAGCGCCGGAGTCGTGCTTGTTAGGTGTGCTGTGACCTTAAGGCTGTACTAGAAATAACCATTACATACGACGTACGAGGTGGTCGCTTCTGTGGCGTTATATTAATTTCACTCCGATGAGTTCTGTCGTATCAGGAAATGTAACTACGCATATGGTTCAGACAAATATAATCAATGCATTTTGAGATGTATTTTACTAACGAATAAGGAACAAAATCGAAGAACAGAAATGGAACTTGTATACTGTGGTGTACTATAACATTAATTTAATGAAAGAATAAGAGATGCCTCTATTATTTTTAGGTTGTATTTTTCAGAAGACTGCCTCGTTGGCCAAGTGGTCGCTAGTGCGACTGTCGGGCAAGGGGTCTTGGGTTCGATTCCCGGGTATGGCAAAGTATTACTGAGTTTTTTTTTAAATCTCAGCAGTAGCGCGGAGTTTGGAAAGGTGTCCGATATATGGCAATAGGCTCACCCCCTATTACATGAGTGGGTGTTACCTCTGTGTGCACCTCTGCCTACCCCTTCAGGGATAAAAGGCGTGATGTTATGTTATGTTCAGAAAACAAAAATTACGCTTCATTTGACGCAAAGCATTCTCTTTGCGTTAAATGAAGCGTAATTTTTGTTTGTGTGGTCAAAAATTATACAAAAAAAAATACCAAGTATTTTTGCTGATATTAATAGCACCTCCTTTTGTTAAGTATTAAGACTGACAAAAAGGAGCTCCCCATAACAAATCAGTTTACTTATAAATCACAGAAGTTGTTGTTATCAAAACATCATTAAAATTTCATGCAGGGACCATCCATTAAGTAAAAAGTATACTTTAAAGACCGTCCGTAAAATGAAAAGTTTCCTAAGAAGATTTTTGAAGAGAAAATTGTCAACATCATGGTTTTTGAGTGAGGGTCAATACATTGTTAGAGTACTTTGTATGAAATAACATGAATAGCCTTTTTTATCAAAGCAAATGAGGGTAAAAGAAGATCTTTGCCTGACAAAGCCATTTCAAAACGATGGTACGACCTTAGCGGATGCAATTTGGGAAAATGTAGGAATGAAAAGTCATTGTGTCATTTACGATTCATTGCGTATTAAATTCAAGTCAGCATTATATCTGCATATATCATAATATGTACTTAATAGTATAAAATGTTAGGAAATCTGTATTTTAGTAGTATTATCATCATCATCATCATCATAGTCAGCCTATAAATGCCCACTACTGAGCAAAACCTCTTCTCAAAGAGTTCTCCTCTATTCTAAAGTTCGGAAATCGAATCCGTGACCCTTTTCCCGGTAGTCACACTTGCTACCGCTCATCCAATGAGATAGTCAAGGCAGACTAGCAATTAGTGCTGTTTAAATTACAGTAGCAATCATTTTTCATTTATATTTCTGTGTAAAAATGAGCAAACTAAAAATTAATAAAGTCACATTTTTCTAATTACGTTGTTCAAGCCATCCATATTCCTTAACTCAAAGCAAAACCGATAGCAAAAGAACTCAGTGTAAATTTAGAAGGAAGATCCGGCATCGTTAGTAAGAACTGCCCCACCGGCACCGCCTTGAGTAAATACCCCTGCATCCCATTAAAGAATTTGTGGCGTATATACAGTATTCACCCGACCATGGGACCGTATTCATGTAAGTGAATAAAATTGGAGTGTCTGTTTGTAACATTGAGATAATAGTGTCTTACTACATGCATATGAATATACTTAGGGTAAGCACATATGCCATAATAACATCTGTTGCAATTTTTATCCATCTGTGTATTCCAGGTAATCTCTGAAATGGCTGAACCGATTTTTAGGGGACATTTATTGGCAGGAAGCTGATGTACTATTAAGAACTTAGGCTACATTTTCCACGAACGAACGTCGCTATACCTAGTAACCTAGTATATAAAATATAGAAATTCCATTGCTTTAGCCTAGACCAAGGCAAAAGTCAGGAACGTAGACAGGGCAGACCCAAAACCATAAAATATAATTATTCGCCTGACAGTTCTAAACTCCTATTTGGCTGACCCTATTTACTATAAAATTACCTTATTATAATATTATAGGCTTTTCATAGCCAATTTTATGAGCTGACTGGGAAAATTCCAGTCTAACTATTGCTAATTTGAAATTCGTATTAGGACTGGGAAAACTATTTTGTTAGTGAAATTGTTTACATGTGATAATAAGTGTACTGAGTGATTTCAAACGATGGTTATTTCTGTTAAGGGTAGGTAGTAAATGCACCCAATTTGGACAAAGAACTTTTTTCAAGCGTATAGAATTTAATCAATACTACATAGTATAATACAAAGTCACTTTCCGCCGTCTGTGTATATGTACACCTATGCTTACATCTTTTAAATTAAATTATTATGTTTTCAGCTTACTCACGTAATAATTTGACGAGGAACTCAGTCGAGTTCCTTTTAAATTAAGAAACTAGTCAGTTTCTTTTAAATTACACAACAGTTTGTGATAGATTTTTGGTGAGAACGAGTGGCACTAATAAAACGAAATCGAATAGCCCGTCTATTGTTAGGAATCAAACCCAAAATGGTTATGTTCATGATCACGAAATCTGAAATCATTATTGGAACAGTTGTATAGTTTGTCTATTTAATAATGATGACGAATGTTTGAGGAACTAACAACATTAAAACTATGGCAACACTCAATGAAAGTACATACGTTGAATGTCGTCAGCTGTGATCGAGTTTGTTTTGCGAATCGATTCTTGTTAAAACGGTTCTAGACTGGAAACGAAGTGAATAAAACTTAGAAGTTTGTTTATTAAACATGCAAAAGGACAGTTCGGAATAAAGCTCGACTAATTGTAATTCGAGTATAAAGTGATTTTCAATAGAACACGAAGTTGGATAAATTATATCAAATTAAGATTATGTTTTCGCTCAAACAGTGGCTATTACGGTTTTTTTTAAGGGGGGAAAGTCATCGAATGACTTCTCCCGCCTGGGTGAGGCGGGAGTGAGTGTCAGACTCTTACTGACTAAAAACCACCCCGTTCCTTCTCCTGCACGTCGAGCCGGAGCCCCGATAACCTGTACTGGTAGGAATTGTATTACATGGCATAACAACATGCCTTTTATCCCCGAAGGGGTATGCAGAGGTGTACATTATGCCACTGTACAATGTAACACCCACTTCTCACTATTTATGTTATGAGTCCCATGTAATAAGATTGTATTACATTTTATCTACCAGAAGTGAAAACCTACGAAATAAACGATCTTATGTCTAACATAAGGATGGTATACATTGCATAGGTATTTATTTATATACACGTCGTTAGTACCAACCAATATTATTTATATTGGTTTTGGTTGACGTGTAGTGCCCTCATCGATTTTCATTTTCATCTGTTCTAATGCAAACCTTTATAAAAATAAGCTATATACTTGATGAACGAAGAATACCAATACCATGTTATAACTTATTATGTACCAATCCGATTTCATAAAGTTATTGTCCACGATAATGAACTGCTGACTGCACTCCACTTGTACTGAGCAGCTGCCTGTCTGAGGCAATCACACCGCTATATTGAGTTAGGGCATTACTAGATTTCTACCGCAGATGCTATGCAATTTCTATCAATACGATGTGTACAGTCGTATTCCGTGTCCAAAGGGGAGTTAAAATCTGAGGGCTTAGAATGAGTACTTTTATATTTAACTAGCGGCCCGCCGCGGCTTCGGACGGGTGTAATATGCACGTGTTATACATATAAACCTTCCATAAGAATCACTCTATCTATTAAAAAAACCGCATCAAAATCCGTTGCGTAGTTTTAAAGATCTAAGCATACATAGGGATAGACAGACGGCGAATAGCGACTTTATTTTATACAATGTAGTGAGAGATCGAAACGTTACCGCGTTCGTCACACTAATTAGTCTGCTGCAATGAACCAATCAATGTGCGGTGTGCCAAACCCTCAGATTTTAACTAAAGTAACACACATATCTTTACCAAAGACGTTTAATGCTGTATAGGAATGTGGAATACCTATTACAACAACCGTACAAATAGTGTCATAATATTTTTCCATGTAAGAGGTACTTACATGTAGGTATATTGTTACAAAATGGAATATTCCACCGTACTTATGTTTACCATTGTAATAATTTCGCAATAGCAATATATGCCTCGCTTATTCCAAGGACTTTACTTAGATCACAATTCATAAGAATATACGCTTACTTATTTTCGGTATGCTTATGAAATGAAGGAAACTTGCGTGTGGGAGCGAGTCTCAATATTACCGTACATGTTGTCCTTGAATTTACAAGGGTGAGCACCAGGCAATTTAATATGGTACTGAATGCCTCTCGTGTTTGTTTTACTGTTATTGTTTTGGAATTGAACAGAAAAAAGGAGTGCAACAATCGGTTACTTGAGTTAAAAATCTATTTAGAATATTTTAGACACGAATTTTTGTCATACAAGAAAACGAAACTCAGATAAAACGAATTTAAGGAGGTATTGACGTCACGGTACCCTATAAAATGTAGAAAATCGGGACGTCTTATGAATACATATAATACCGTGTGACGTCATGATACGTCATGTTATTGTATAAAAAAAGTCAGTCCATTTGCAGATCCCATTCTTATTTCAAGGCTTTTATGATGTATGTACGTATAAAATAATTATATACTTATATTTTTACGCATTTTTTACAAATGAAACGTTAGATATTGTGTTAATATCTAATATTCCTTTTACAAAACTTATTTTGCATCCAAAAGGTTTCAGAAAAGGTAAACAAATCCTGTTGTGGCACGTGCATTATGTTAGGGAATCACTTTAAGTGCACTATTGTGTGAAAATAAATATGTTTATTTATCGTCAACTACTAATAGTGGCACTTTGTGTCAAGCGAAAATGGCTTCTATTTAAAAGTTGTTTTCACAACATTTTACCTTATGAGTATTCAAAACTTACGAGTGTTTTTCAATCGTTTTAATGTAACCTGTTGACTAATGGTTTTTAAAATGTATTGTTTACGATTTACACTGTTAAGTAAATAAAACTATTCATAGAACTCCATTGCAGAATACCTATAATATTAAAAACAACATCACGCCTTCCATCCTCGAAGGGGTAGGCAGAGATGCACATTATACCACTGTACAATGTAACACCCACTTTTCACTATTTATGTTATGAGTCCCATGTAATAGGGGGTGTGCCTATTGGCCTATAATATTAAATGAACTATAAATCGCGGGTTACTCACGTGAATATACTGAGAATAGTTCTACTAGTTTCGGGCCATAGAGAGGTCTTCCTCGTGAGCAGCGTGGGCAGTCGCGCAGCCTACCTATAATATTGTAGAAACTTTATGCGTAAACTTTATGCGTAACACTTATTACAAGTTAAATTCAACAATAATAAGTATATTTCGCAATAGCAGCCTTCAGCACTAATCATAAATAATTCTATACTAAAATAATAAATACGCGTTAAAATAATAAGCACGAATGGATTATAATAATTACTTTATTGGAATTTGCAAAATGAAGCTAATTAATACGATCATAATGAAAATATTAGACTTTCATTATAATCGTGTTATCAATTGAACACTCGACATTAATTAAATAAATGCATTAACCCCGATTAGTTTAGTACAAATATATCGTTTCAATTATGGAATGAAATGGCAATATGGATTAATTTTTAACCGACTTCTCACAAAGGAGGAGGTTAATAATGCGGATTTATTTGTTACACAATTACTCCGGCGTTTATAGACAGATTTGAATGATTATTTTTTTGTTGGAAAGGTCACTCAAACCAGATGGTTCCATTTCCACCAGTTCAGGATCTGATGATGGATTCCCATGGAAACAGAGGGGAACTTGCAAAAATTGTAGTGGCGACTAAGCGTTTCTTAACTTATTCATTAAGTATTAAAAACCACTACAATTTGATTCGATATGATGATGTAATCAAGAAACAGTCGAGGGAACTTCTCGACGATTTACACTTGTGACTCCATGTCTGGGCTTGAATTATTTTTATTAATGAGTACTTTACGCATCTATAAAAAGTGTCTTCAAGTCTCGAGTGAATAGGTCTGTCATATAGATAGGCGTGTTTTATCGTCGGCCACGTCATCGCTTAGGCGAGTTAGGTTTTGACTGACCTATTAAATGTAAAATAAAAAAGGTGTCCAGGATTTGAATTTTCTCACTAGTAAGTAATATGAAAATCAGGAACTGTATGACACGTGTTTTTATACTAACCAGTAAACTGCGCGACATCGCCGCGACTGCGCACGCTGCTAATGATAAAATCCCCTCTGTGGTTCGAAACTAGTAGAGCCGTTCTCATTATTTTCACGTTTAGGTAATCTGTATGACACATGACCAAGGAATAGATGAAAGCATGGCACAGTACTAGATAAATCTGTGACCCTAGTATAAAAGAATCTAAGTCTAAAATTGGCTGTACGGTTGGTGCGGTAGCTGGGCAACCGGCTGCCGTACAACGTGTCGCGGGTTCGATTCCCGCACGTAACAACACTTTGTGTGATCCACAAATTGTTGTTTCGGATCTTGGTGTCATGTGTATGTGAACTTGTATGTTTGTAAACGCACCCACGACACAGGAGATAATCCTAGAGTGGGGCAAGGCTAAAAAATAAAATACTACTTTACAGGAGACGCAAAAACCGTGTGCTTCAAATGCGTGTTAGACCTCCTATGTCACAATTGATGTTTTTATAGGTCAGTCAGTTCAGATCAGTTTGAATGATGAAGCATTTTTTTCTGATCATTTTGGTATAATTAACTCATTTTCGACAATATTGTACTTGTACCCTTTTTCACTCAGGCAACAGAAATATGGTTCCGTTTTTATTATGTCGGAATGTAACCCATTCAATATATTTTTATTATATCCATAACAATGTCCTTTATGCCAGAACCGTGACATTTGACGTCCCATTGTGTTCTCCCTATGGGAGCATGGTGGCTAAATGTTATTCAACTTACTTTTCGATCGGGTGGATAACCTCGGTATATCAGAATATAACAAAATAAACGGACGAAATGAAAGAGGAATATTATGTAAAGCTACATTTGATTTTGGTTAGAGGTTAGTTAACCTTGTAAGAGACGGACCTTTGAGTTTATTTCCGCATTTCTTCTCAGAGTAGTCAGTTGGGAAATGACGACCGTATCGTTTGCTTGAAAAATTATCGTGTAAGTTCTGCCTTGTAGCCATTCTTTCAATCACTTGTTTCACTGGAAATTGTGATTTTGAACTCGATTTGGAATATTTTACTTAAGACTCTTAAGTTTCAATTTAGCAGCCTCGTAGGCTGAGTAGTCGCAAGTGAGACTATTGCCATGTACCGGGCACAATTCCAAAACTCCGTGCTACTAATGGAAATTTTTAAAAACCCCAGTATTACTTTACCAGACCTGGGAATCGAACCCGAGACCCCTTGCCCGGCAGTCGTTCTTGCGATCACTTGGCCAACGAGACAGTCCTCTTCCTGACGAAATGATGATTGTTTATTGTCAACAGAAAAGATTTAGCACCTTTTACACTAAATAACATCACCAAACGAATGACTTAAGCCTTCAATTTCTGAATTTTATCCTGTTTTGTACAATTAGCAAAGAAAGAAAGAAGAATCATTTGTTACGTTACAACACACGCGTGGACAAGAATACAAGCACACATAAGTATATATATAGTGTGTTTCAGCACAAAAGGTCGGAGCTCAGCTTAATACTGTGGCACAGGCACGAAAGCTCGAATCCACGGCGCTGATTTATTTTAGCACTGGTACGTAGTAATACGTATTACGCAATCAACAATACACTTACGGTAACGCTATTCGGAGGATAGTATTATATAAGTAAAAAAAATATGTAAAATTGAATACAAAACCAAATTACCAATAAGTTTCAAAGAAAAATAGCTAAATAAATAGATATAAATATCATTAGCCCTAGCGCGACAGTCACCGCGTCGCGTGTCGCGGAATGCTGCTCATGAATATGAACCTCTAGCATGGCTTGAAACTAGTCGAGTTCCTCGTCAAACAGTTACGTGAGTAAGCCGAAAACATAATAATTAAATTAGTATGTCTCACGAAAGTTTTAAGATAAACAAAGATATAAATATGTAATGTCCAATCATAGTATCAAAATTGTAATGTAAAAAACCTGTAGCATTTTCATTCAGTAGAACTTGAACATTAACACAACTAATTCAACTATTATTCAATTATTTGTAGCGTCCTTAAATGGTTAGAGTTTGCATAGTGTGGCGACCTAAGTTAGGCGTTTTGTACAAGGTACATGGAAAAGCTTTTATAGTTAAAATTGCGAAACTATATGACTATAGTTGTTACTTAACCAGGTTAAACTGGTTTATTGTTATAGTTTAATTTATGATTCATTGTGGGTGGCGAAATGTTACCAAAGGTTTGATTAACTTTGATCAAAGACCACACCGGATCTTACTATCTTAGATTCAATTTAGCTTATAGTGAATAATTTATAGTTAATCTTTGGCCATTAATAAGGCTGTTTCAATCTTCATTATGTGTTTTATACTTAGTTATTAATTTGTTTACTGTAATTATACCATTCATTTTTCTGATGTCTAGTAGACTGAAAGGTCATAAGAGCAACAGTCAATAATAAAATAATGTATAAAATTATTCCTCTTTGTAACCTACGTTTAAAAGACCGACTTTAATCCTTTCTTTTTAGAACTCCGTTGATTAATTTACTACCTTACTACCTTCTTCAAAATGACAGACTATTCTGGAAATTGCGTCAAAATTAGTTCAGGCGCACAAACATACAGACATATATACATACAGGTCACACTGATAACTTCCCTAATTTCTTTATGAAGTCGATTAAATAACAAACATCGTGGAATAATGAATCCAAAACTACAATTTGTATTATAAAATATTATGTTACCTAGCTAAAAGTAGATTAACGACTATTCTAGAATATTGAAAGTAACTGCAAATGAAGAATCTTCTTTTAAGGCTGGTAGTCTTTGATAAGTGCTGTTTCTAAGCATATTTCTCTTGTCCACAGTAACCAGTTGCAAGAGCAATCATCTGATACCTTCAACACCTATGATAAAGAGCAACTCAGCAGAGATTTGCTGTAAAAAGTGGTATACAAAGAAGCTTCCGAAGGTAAGTCACAAGTATTTTTTTTTTTATGTGATAAGCCGATAAACGAGCAGACGGATCTCGGATACCTGATGGTAAGCAATCACCGTTGCCCATGGACATGGATACCTGGAACACCAAAGACATTACAAGTGCGTTACCAGCCTTATGGGGATCGGGATTGGAGAGATTGGAGAAGACGGGGGGGGGGGGGGTGTCATTAGGCGTCTGGTAGACTCACTCACACGAGAACCTAACGGGTAACCGGGGCTCTGGCTCGACGTGCAGGAGAAGGAACGGGGTGGTTTTTAGTCAGTAAGAGTCTGACACTCCCTCCCGCCTCACCCAGGCGGGAGCAGTCATTCGATGATTTTCCCCCCTTAAAAAAAACTCACACCATGAAACATAACAGTAACGTTGTTTCACGTCGGTTTTCTTTGACGCCGTGGTATTACTCTGGTCGAGCCGGCCCATACGTGCCGAAGCATGGCTCTCCCAAACTTAGACATCTCTTTAAGTTCTCTTTAGCATTTATATTGTTAGTCTTGTGTAACATTATTGTTATTCATTGGCATTTGGTATTAATTTCGTCAGTTAAAGCTGCATTCAGGAATTTATTTGGTTGATTAGTAAGTAGTTTCATCAACAAAAAGTGATAATTTAAGCTAAATCTTTCGTCTTAATTAGAACAAAAGGTTTGAGCCTCCACGATCATCACGACATAATTTAAAATATTGAAAACTAAGCTTAAAATATTTGTGCAAACTTTATAAAGATAGTTTTTAAAAATAAAAGGATCAATGTATTGAGGCCTTTGTCGATTGGCAAATGAATCTGCAAAATAGAAGCAAACAACAAATTAGAGAACAATACTAGTTCTTAGTTACCATGTATTTGCATGTTCTGAATAAAGGCTTATTTATTTGTAACTAGCTTTCACCCGCAGCTTCGCTCGCGTCACAAAAGGATAAAAAGCAGCCTATGTGACATATACCAATACACACAGCGCCATCTATACCAATTCCTTTGTTTTCCTTCGGGAATATCAATTTTTCCGGGATTAAAGTACCCTATTATTTAATCCGGAGTTCTAACTTTACGTCTGCAAAATTTCTAAGCAATCGGTTTAGTAGTGACGGCGTGAAAGCGGAACAAACAAACAAACTCACTTTCCAATTTATAATATTAATAAGGATGTATTGGATGGTATATTCTCCATATTGCATATTAAGAGGATTATAAATTGAAGGCTACAGTTATAGAATATTATTCAAACATTTAGGCGTTTACACTTTCCAATTCAAAGTACCTATAACAGTAAATTCTGCAGTGCCATTAATTATCATGTTTTGATGATGTCAGTGGTTGGATGCGAATGTAATTTCACGATTTAGGTGCGTCAAAATTCTACGCTGTTTGTTAGTGAAATTAATTAATGCTGACTGTAATGATTTATTGTATTACATTACACATAACATAACATCACGCCTTTTATCCACGAAGGGGTAGTCAGCGGTGTACATTATGCCACTGTACAATGTAACACCCACTTTTCACTATTTATGTTATGAGTCCCATGTAATAGGGGGTGAGCCTATTGCCATATACCGGGCACAATTCCAGACTCCGTGCTACTACTGAGAATTTATAAAAACCCAGTAGTACTTCGCCCGACCGAACGGACCGATCGAACCCGAGACCCCTTGACCGGCAGTCGCACTTGCAACCACTCGGCCAACGAGGCAATCGGCATTACATTACTATATAAGTATATATCAGATGAACCACCATCTAATGTATATAAAATTCTCTTTTTAAGAGTTAAATACTCGTTAATTTCTACCTAAAATGGACTATACGATGCTAATTGGCAAACACTATAGAATACTTTGTCGAACATGAGAGCTATTACTTTTTAAAACTATGTAAATAAGTTATTATTGGCGTTTCTGTTTACAATAGATAAAGCTAAGACTATTTTTTTATTTCACTTTCACTTGTAATTTAACGATGCCTATCAGAGTTTACAAAGCACTGAAAACGTTTAATTTGCTGTATTCTGTTATAATGTAATACATTTCTTTTTATGGGATGGGCCGGTAAACGAGCAGACGGATGGTACCTGATGGTAAGCAATCGCACATGGACACTTGGAACACCAGAGGTGTTATAAGTAGGCTACCGGCGTTTCGAGAATTAGGAATTTGGGGATTTTTGGGAATTCAGGGACTGGAGAGATTGAGATGGTATTGGACCTCCGGTAACCTCATTCACACGGCGAAACTTTATCAAACAGAATTTTATAGAGCAAAGCCATATTTCATGTGTAATATTATTTCAAGGTCAATTATTAGGTCATAACATCGACAAGACTTACATTATCCTACTGGCTTTAAATTGCTAATTCCAAACCCTCAAATGACTAGAATCTTGTATAGAAATACCAGGGCATATTGTTACAAAGTTTATGGTCCTTGACAAGACTATCAAAGTATCTATTCATCCACCCACACTAATGTTCGCACATGTACAGCGTTCATTAAGTGTTGAAATATAACTGGCTATAATAGCTTTTGGATGGATACTGATCGAAATTACTCTTCACATGCCTACACCCAAAATTGGCAATGATTAATCATTCATTAGCATCATTAATCACCAACATCGCGTAGCTATCTACTACTGAAAATTTTCCCCTCGCTTGGCCAAAATCAGATTTACCACAGAGTGCTACTGCATCATCATTGTTAACTCTATAATATTTTAGATAGCTCTTAAAACACTTCCAGGGAGAACAGGAGTGGTGACAGGTGATATAAGTTCTATTAGGGACACTCTGCATAAATTTCTATTATTCATTCCAGGAATATGATTGAGTCGATTTGTTAATTCGCACACCATTAAACCGCAATTGGATGAATCGAGGTTAATACGGTACGCATAAACAGTGAAACAATTTGGCACGTATCGCTGTACCCTATTAATTCAGTGATAATTTGGTACTCAGAGCCACACTCCAATCAATCATTTCAAAAAGAGTTAAATTGTTGCCTATTTGTTAAATTTCACTACACTCAGTGGTGTATAAAATTAACCACGATTGTACTATTTTGATTAATGATTTAAATCAAATTTCTGAACTCGAATTTTGGTATTACGGGTGTTAAGCATACGGTAGAGCGACCGTTTCTATTATTAAACAAAATCTGATTATTTACAAACCGCCAATTAACCTTACTGTCAATTCTTTTTTCAATAATATATTTATTTATTTTCTCTCCAAACAAAGGATCATTCCATAGAAATAAGATACAATATTCATATGCAAACAATATATTGCTTTGTGAGAGACTGGAGTTCATACTAGGATTCCCTGTTCAGGATTCCTCCAGGCTCCCCGTCGGACCAGATTATAGATATCCATCATCCATTCGCAGAAAGACAAACTACGCGATATTGCAGATAAGAGAAAAAAACAAATTCAAAGAACACTACACACTCATTAAAAAACAAAGTGATTTGCGTTGTACATAACAATGAAAAAAATGTAACAAGAAAAAGACAAAAAATAGCGAACACGGAAGAAAATGCAACTACACAAAAAGAATGAGATTCTCTGCATTTTAACTTTAAATAAGATTAACTCAGCATTCTCAAATTACATGAAGTGTGTGTTGTGTCGTGCGTGTGATGTACGCGTGGAGTGTGTAGGTGTGAATGTAATAGAAGAGAGATCATATTCATTAAAAAAAGTGTAGGGTTGCTGGTTGTGAAATGAAAGCCCCAGTGTATCACTGCGAGGACCGGACACCGGACACTGTGGAACACCTGTGTGTTCACACAACACCGCTACTGTTAGCGGAATGCCCTGTGTGGGCCGCCGTGCCTACAGGGACGTGATTGGCGATGGCGAACTCTCGCTTCCGGCCCTAGTGCGGGTCATAATGCGGAGCAAGGGGGGCTGGAATGCCGTCTCCTCTTTTTGCGAAGCAGGTATGCTAACTAAGGAGGAGGCGGGACGCGTGAGGCAGCAAAGCGCTGCCTCTTCGCAACCCAGTCATCGCGAAGGAATACTAAGTAAAACAATCATTTTTCTGAAAAGCGTACCAAAATCAGTTTTGCCAATCACGAGATAATCGCCTACAAATGATTGTGTATATGTATGAACATAAACATATACGTACCGTTACAGACATACCTATAAATATACATATAGGTCAAGCTGAGAACCTCCTTCTTTGTTCGAAGTCTATTAAAAAGAAATATGAAACTTAAAAGAACATTCGAATTATATTAGTCTGTTTATATCCTCAAATATTATATTCAGATTCATAACACAAGATATATAAATAATATGAAATTGTCATTATAATTCAACCTCGGATACACAAAGCGTTCTGAAAATTGGATTTGACGTGGTAATATTAAAGTAATTATCTGCAGTTGTGAACACATGCAATCACAATTATCTCGTATGATGAGCTATTACTTCCTCATATTATCTCTTCACCTTTCATTACCTTCACATATAGGCAACAAATCATTTTATTCCTATAATAGAACACATATTAACACATATAGGCCCTATTACCCACCCTCCCTTCTCCGATCCCTGAATCTCCAACAATCCTCAAATGCCTAATCACCTAAAGGTCGGTAACGCACTTGTAACATCTCTGGTATTCCAGGTGTCCATGGGCGACGCTGATTGCTTACCATTAGGTGATCTGTCTGCTCGTTTACTGGCTTGTCCTATATTCAAATACAGATACATACAACATATACACATATATATATATATGTGGGACCTCTAGTTATTTTAATTGGCTTATATTTTGTTGACAGGACGATTCGGAGGCAAGATTGGACGCGGACAACAATAGCACCCAGTCCTATTGTATGCACACCGTCGATTTGGAGTTTAGACACGTTGTCAGATCAACACATATTGACAAGAGTATAGAAGCGAAGAGGAAAGTAAGTACCTTTTTATATGTATATGTACATAGATAGTATAATGTATTTCATCAAATAAGTTGAGAAATAAAAATTAATTTATTATATAGGTCTAAAATTCAACGTGTCCATTGTTAGTACGGTTTAATCTCTAAAGACTTTAATCGATAGGAGCGACATCTAGTCTAGTACAAAAAGCAAAGCTTTCATTCATAATTATATGTTTTAATTGCACACTTTCATCAAAGCTTAATAGAACCTTCGTTCTTTTAGAATTCCTATTTTGGAAGCGTACATTAGATAAAGCGTACATTTTTTTGAATATTTATGTCGGGTTTATTATACATTCATTAAAAACATGGAAGAAGATTAGACCCATGTTTCATCTATATAATAAAAATGTTCTGTATAATAAAAATCTTTGAGTACAAAATGACGAAAGGATGACAGTTACTACCCAAAAAAAGGGTTACTATGAAATAGTGTAAAATGATTGGATAAACAAAACTGTATATTCTTTTTGACATACTATGCATGCTAAATAAACTACATAATAGTAATCTTCATTGAAGCCTGATATTTAAAGGGCAAATTTCATGATGGTTATGTAAACCATATTTAGAACATAAGAATAATTTAACATCTAGAAAATGAAACCTTAACTAAAATATGACAAAGGTGCATAACGTAACAGTCACTTTAAATGATGTTGTAAGTTCTATGAAAGAGAGAGCGTTTACGCAGTTACAAAGACAGATCCAGATATTGCACTATTACTGAAAACTATCTAAATCACTTGTCTTCGCTTAAGTTTCGAATCGACACTTACTTAAATATTATTATTCGACATTCTGTGCGACGATAGATTAGAAAAGCAAAAGTAAATACCTACAGAAAATTGGATTTTAAATTGAAGTATTAAAAATAGACTTAGTTGTAAAAGTAACTTATTTTCAGGCAGCACTTGAGTAGGATTGGCTTGATTGAGGTTGACAGTGTCTATAAGTAGAAACACTTTTTTTGAAGAAATGGTATTAGAGTACGATGATATTTCCACAAATGATTATGACGTTGACTATTAGTTCGTCGAAAATATTTATTTTAAATTAATCTACCTGATAGTATAAAAATTAGACTGCCTCGTTGGCCGAGTGGTAGCAAGTGCGACTGCCGGGCAAGGGGTCTCGGATTCGATTTCTGGGTCGGGCAAAGTATTACTGGGTTTTAAAAAAAAATCTTAGTAGTAGCACGGAGTCTGGAAATGTGCCCGGTATATGGCAATAGGCTCGCCCTTACATGGGACTCATAACATAAATAGTGAAAAGTGAGTGTTACTTCTGTGTGCACCTCTGCCTACCCCTACAGGGATAAAAGGCGTGATGTTATGTGTTATGTGTTCTAAAAATTTGTCATCTACCCTACTTAGAAGTCTATGTTTGTCTGTTGTCATTGCTAAATGTCAATATAATTCGTTTGTGCAGTGTTCTTTATACCTCAGTAAATAAATATTAGACAATTTATTGCCTAGGGGCCTAGAAATAGATTACGAACTGTCTCTGTGAGATCTTTAAGGCCCGAGTGAATAGGTTGCTTATGGGACGATGTGCTCCAACGTAGATCGCATCATCCCTTATCACCGGCGAGATAGTGGTCTAACGTCGGCCCATCAAATATAAAAAATTGAGTTAGCGGCCTTTGAAGATTAGAAATTTGATTGTTGTTGGGGATTCGGGGATTACGAAGATTGGGGAGGGGTGTAATTGGGTCTCCGGTAACCTCACTCACACGACGAAACAAGTGTTGTTTCACGTCGGTTTTCTGTGAGGCCGTGGTATCACTCCGGTCGAACCGGCCCATTCGTGCCGAAACATGACTCCTACACTTTACCTCCACGAAACAGAATATACCTCCATGAATAGAATTCATTAATTTTCTAAGTGTAATAAGTAAGGGATTGCGATTAAACTCATGTTTACTAATGGAAAAATTCTTCGTCGGATTAATCTACTTTATTAAACCCGCATTGACTGCTTAATGGGCTGATGGAGGCGATATTCCCTTACAACGATGAATAGAAATATGATTGCTTTATCAAGTCTGCATTGAAAGTGAGAATTTCAATGGCGACGAGAATGGCCAGCCTTCTATGCTTCTAATAATTAGACGTCAACAAAGATTTTCAAACAAATTCAGAAAGGAACATTATTTTCTTTTGACAATGACTGTAATCAGTATATCGAACTAAGTATCTATAATTCGCATGAAGTGACAATTTCCGATCCGATATTTTCATGTCACCATCGATCATGAACAAGACAAAGGGACTCGAATTGAGAATAGCGCCATCTATGATAACGAAAATAAGACATTTTTCATTATTTCGAAAAAAGAATGTAATTATCTTGGGCAACATAATTATTTGTTTTCCAGTTAGGTAGTTATATAAATATATGTTACTAGTTTCTGCCAGCGGCTTCGCCCGCGATCCCAGGGGTAAAATGCCTATGTATCACTTCAGACCATAATCTACCTCTGTTCCGAATTTCATTCCGGTCCCTTCAGTCGTTTTTATATGACTGAGTAACAAACATACACATAAACTCACATATTTTCATTTATAATATCGAGTCAAGCTAATTTCAACCATTGACCTTTCAGATACAGCGTAAAGTCTATGAATGAGTATTGTAAACGTTAGAGTAGACAAATACAATCAGAAATCACCGAATTGCTAAGCTATCGGAAGTTTCACGTGTTATTGTGAGTCAACCATAAAAGATAGACATATGCTGTCGAGGACTATTTTTTATATAATTTTAAGGAGAATATTTCCGTCATACATGATTTCTATGCAGCTTTAACCTATAAGCCTGCACACGCGACGGAAGCTTAAAAAATGGAGTAACTTCTCCCGTTTTCCCAATATTTCCCTTCACTGCTCTGCTCCTATTGATCGTAGCGTAATGAAAAGTATACTATAACCTGCCCAAGAGTAGGAAGAATAATTGTGCCAAATTTCGTTAAAATCCATCGAGTAGTTTTTGTTTCCATAACGAACATACAGACAGACAGACAGACACACAAAAATTTTACTGATTGCATTTTTGGCATCAGTAGCGATCCCTAATCACCCCTTGATAGTTATTTTTTAAATATATTCTATGTACAGAATTGACCTCTCTACAGATTTATTATAAGTATAGATTAATAATTCTGTTAGCAATATCCTAATGTTAAAATCGTGACTTTTGGATTTGTTTTTCAGTATTAACACTATACTCGTGTCGATAATGATTCAAACTCTTTATAGACCTATCTATCTATTTTATCACAAGTGTATTAATTAAAAATCGAACCCCATCTTAACCAAAGCCTTTGAGTAAGATTCATAGAAGATCGTCACAGCTGTTACAATTGAATACTGCAATTAAAGGAAATTGCACTGGACGATTTTCCGTTCCTCAGAATTGATGAACTTCAGTCATACTTATCATCTGACTGTATAGGATAGATCTTAATATAGACATTGGACTTGACTTAAGAAATTGCACCTACATTATTATAATATAACCAACTGATCCGGAAAACTTTGTACCGTCTAAAATGGTTTTTCTCTCTACTCTCGTTACCTTTTAAACCTTCCCTGGACTTCCACGAACATTTCATGACCGAAATACATTTTTATTTATATAGATTGAATTGTTTATATTTATTGAGCGTCTTAAATGTTAAAGTTTAGCGAGTTCAGATTAAAAGCCACACCTCTGTAAAAGTACATTGAATAAATTAGTAAAAAAAACATTCTGAGTATTTTTTGTGTTAATTTGATAGTGAATTACGAATAATTAGGAAGCCCTTTAAATACTAATAACATTGATACAACTGTAGTTAATGAGCATTAAAACTAGATTTTTTTCCAGGTGATACGTATGCTGTTCGTCATAATCTTGGAGTTCTTCGTTTGCTGGACACCATTACACGTCATTAATACGGTAAGAAAAACTATATTTCTTTTTAAAAATATAATCATAACATTTGAATCGGTACAATCGACAAAGTTGGCAGTCGATCTATTAGGCGATATTTGCATGCACTCGTCGCGAGCAACCACAGGGAAAAAGCCCGGTATAGTGAGTTTTCTAAAGAATTTTGTTTAAAAAGTTTACTACCGTAAACTTTGCCAATAGTACATACATCTATAATGATTTTCTTCTGAGTTTATAATTCATTACTTTTTTAAGAGGGGAAAATCGTCCTATGACTTCTCCCGCCTGGGTGAGGCGAAAGGGAGTGTCAGACTCTGACTAACTAAATACCACCCCGTTTTTACTTCTGCTAAATGTACCACTTAGTTTTTTATTATACGTATCTGAATTTTTTTTCTTCTCCTCTTATAATATCTTCTGATTCACTTCGTTGCGGTAACCAAGAAAGTTACTCATGTCCCTGGAACGCCCCGGACTTCAGTGTTCCGGTGTTTTCATGCTTGTATCTACTGTAAATCCTGGCTTACAGAAGTTGCAGCGGTTTTGGGATGGGGCGGGCTTGTCCCATTAAAAAAATACATATCTAAAGTCCTTGCATTGTAACACTGGATAATATGAATTGCATTACATCACTCAATAAATTGTTTTAAACATGTTCATGACGAACCCAAAATGTATGTATTATAAACCAAAAAATTGTGACCCAATTACTTACAATCATAAAATTGGAAATGGTTTTTTATATGAGAACGAGCAGTCAATATTGTTTGTCAATCAACAGACGAAGAGATATAAATTACATCATAATATTTTATACACAGAACTTTTTGTTTATTTTGCCATCGATAAATAATGACAGTTCATATTTATCTTTTTCAAAAACTTCTGGATTCTACAATATTATTAGAGTTGATCAATTTATTAGCTAGGAATTAAATAACGGTAATACAAAAACAATCTATTACATGATTGAATTTAAAAGAAATAATATGATACGAAACAAACTTCTTTGTTTGCCATTTCTTAACAGTGATATTATAACGGAATAACAATTAGAAAAATTATATTAAACTGAATAATAATATAAGACTGCACGCTGGCTATAAAACAATAATTCAAAACAGATTGAATAGAACAAAAGTTTGTCAGATAATGGCACCCAGTTACATATCTGTAGTAAGCGTTGAGTGGAACTTCACACTGTCTGACAGCTCTACATCCAGCTGTAGGTATATAACCATTAAATACTGACCGTCGTATGTGCGGAGAGAGCACACAACCGAGACTATGAATGACTATAATGAACGAGTTCTATGACTCTATTTTTTTAAAACTTTGCTTCACACTAGGATTTTCTCCTGGGTCGTGGGTGCGTTTACAAATTAACAAGTTCACATACACATCACGCCAAGACCTGTAACTACAATACAATCACACAAAGAGTTGTTCCGTGCAGGAATCGAACCCGCGACACGATGCCGGTTGCCCAGCCACAGAACCAAGGCAACCGTGCATTGAAACAGTATTAGGTCTCGTACACAAAATGGCGAGCTCTCTCTACGCATCGCAAGAACTTGCGAATTGATTCGCATCGCACAACAAAGTCCCAAAATCTTCTTTGTTTCTTTTTTCTATATCTCCTAACAGAAGTGCACACTTCTTTTTACGATACATGCCACGACCTAGTTTTCAATTTAAAATACGTTTATTACGGTTGACGGTCGTCGTAGGAAAGACGCCTTGTCGCACGAAATCGCATCGCAACAATTCGCATCGTAATTTTTGCGTCGCGAATTCGCATCGCATCGCAATTTTGTGTACGAGCCCTTATGTAGTCGTGTCTACCACGTAAGTAGTAGATAGTCTATTGTTTGTGCGACTATATTCAAGTAGCCATATTCCATGTGTGCAAATGCCAGGAGCTTACACGAATTAATCTTATGTAGATTAAGTACTTTATTAATAGATTCTAAATTCCAATTGACTAGACACCAACCAGTAAGTCAGTTTAATAATCTTGAGTTAGTCTACGATTGAAGTTGAGGTTATATTTAGAACAATGTTTTGGGGAAATTGGAATGTATTCCATATATCTCGAGATTATGAAACTGATTGTAATATAGGTAACTAGCGGACACGACAGACGTTGTCCTGTAATAATAGGTATAGACAAATAACCTATAAACCGACTGCAGCGCCATCTGCCGGACTGATTTGTGAATCTAAACCATTCCCAGATCCCCTTGAACACACACAAAAAATTTCATCAAAATCGGTCCAGTCGTTTGAGAGAAGTTCAGTGACATACACACTCACAGAAGAATTATATATAAAGGTATACATGAATCTAAATTTATGAAACAAATAAATAACTTCACTAAAAACAAAAGTATATTTATTTTAAAAGTACATACTTTGACGTACAACAGCCAAGTAACAGTAATGAAATTAAAATTAACGATTTGAATTCAACCGTTTATTTGCATAATTAGTTAAAAAATATAAAAAAAAACTCAGTTCAAAATCGTCCCTTAGCAACAAACCGCATAAATCACTTGAAAGGGAATTTAATCAACTGATGTTTGCAAATGGTCGACACGTTGAAATGTCTGTTTAATGTCAGGTCGTAACGTAAAAGAAGGGACTAGGTAAACACGTTTACTTAGACATAACATAATGTTAAAAGAATCAATTAGACCTTAGACGTGTCTTCTTCCCACACATTAAGTTAGACTCGACCACCATTTTATGAAGGTCTAAGATCTAACCTAAATAAAAATGGCTGATGTCTTATGTAATCTTACGGTTGATAGGCAAGATACACAAAAATAAGTTAGGTCAGAGGTTCTCAAAGTGTCTAGCTGGTCGCCGCTACTTCGAGTAGGATGATTGTAGTGTTAATTAGCGACAGATATTTTGTCTTGTAACTAAATTGTACACATTACATTGCCTTTCATTCAGCGAAGAGTTAGGTAAGATAATTAATACCTCATAATATTATCACGATCATATTATTACCTAACACTGAACAAGATACCGGTCTTTATTCTATATCTTTGTGTTCTTTAGTAGTTGTAGTGTTTAATATACTTACACAAAAGATTGGGAACAACTGTGTTGTATATCAAAAAGAATTTTGGGAAGATTTGATGTACGGATTTCTTAGAATTTTCTGTTTCAACACACGTCTCGTTTGGTCCCATTCGCTTCGCATTTCGAATAGAAAATAGTATCATATTTTTAGATTACGCAATGTATATTCAAGCTATTTCATCTGTATCAACAATATTCTTGGATCGAATATCAAGTAGTGTTTCAAAGAGCAGAGTACGTTAATCTTTTTTAAATGATTAAAAAAATATTATGGTATTTGTGCGACCGTCGGATATCGTGAGACCTTGTGACTATATTAATATTATATTATAACATTAATTTGGTTCGCATTTATATAAAAAACTGATAGTAGAGCCATGTAAGCGTAATTAGGTTTACTTTTTAAATTATTCCTTAAAAGCATAACAAGTGTATATCAAGTTACATATTTCTATAACGTTGATGTAAATACAAGATTCGATGTATCGGTTCGACTTAGCACTTGAATTTTAATAACGACGAGAAAATAAATAGGTATTAATAGTTTGCAAGCTAATAGGATAAAAAAACAACTGCAAAGTTGTTCAGAACCAGCTTAAAATGAATATCTAGAGTTTATACACCTTAAGCCGATTACAAAAATGTTCACTGCAAATAAATATTTGTTGGAATAATATAGTTTGGTCCCCATTTTTATGAAATATGCTATTCTAATTTTTCGTTGACATTTTATAACATCGGTTTTATCAACAGCTTAGCGGCCACTGCTGACCAAAGACCTCTTTTCACACGGAGAAGGTTTGAGCATTAATCACCACGCTTGTTCAATGCAGGTTGGCGATTTCAAGCGTATAACTAGAAATTATTAGCCCAGATTTCCATAAGATGTATTCCTTCACTGTTTGTCAATGGTGTCTAAATAATCTTATAGGGTAGGTATATATAACTCACGGGTACTTGCCGATGATAGGTTCCGAACCTAGACTTTCTTGTATGAAAAGCGAGCGTCTTAAACCTCCGGGTTACCACGACAAACATCGGATTAACTACCAAATATAACATCGGATTTTAACGTAGAATAAATAAATGTATAAATTCTGTGATGATCACAAATTTTTGTAAATTAACCACACAGTGTCTGTCAAATTTCTCCGAGCTCGATTTTGTATCAAAGAACTACAATTTTTGCATAGTTAGTAAGTGATAATTGGAACAAAGTACTCAAATCAACTATTACTGTTTTAAAAATACTGAAATTCTCGATACAGACTTCCATATGCTGCTAGGTTATAGGTTAATGGTAGTTTCATGTAAGATCTAATGCCACACTTCGATCACTGTTCCAGACTCCGTGCTTCTATCCATTACCTTCAACTGAACGCCTTCTGCCGACGTCATGCCAACTAGACTTACGAAGCAGTCAATCAATTAGGCAATGAGGTGGATAGCGTATCAATATTTATTCGGGTAAAGCTGTGAGTGAAGTGGTATTAAGTAAACAACACTAATACATAACACCAAGATCCAATTGTTAGAATAAAGAAATCAAGCATTATGAGCGTATGTCTCCAAGTGGACGGAAAATGCTACTAATGATGATAATTATTCATTCATCAACAGCCTATAATGACTGCGCGGTTGGTGCGGTGGCTGGGCAACCGGCTGCCGTGCAACGTGTCGCGGGTTCGATTCCCGCACGGAACAACACTTTGTGTGATCCACAAATTGTTGTTTCAGGTTTGGGTGTCATGTGTATGTGAACTTGTATGTTTGTAAACGCATCCACGACACAGGAGATAATCAACACAAGAAAAAAAAAGTGCTCACTCAAGAGATGGTTTGAGGCAAATTAGACACTTTTGACACGATCAAAATTTAATTCTTCGTCCGTCTGTCTGTCATTGAAGGCTAGC